TCCTCTCTCAAAAGAAAAAAAAAGGAAGGAAGGAAGGAAGGAAGGAAGGGAGGAAGGAAGAAAGGAAGGAAGGAAAGAAGAAAGGGAGGGGAGAGAAGAGAGTAGCTGGCAAGTGGAGGCAGAGGAGAAGGCTGACTCTCCTTACATTGCCCCTAAATATTCACCCACCACTCTGACAAATCAAAGAAGGTCAGGTGGTAACTCAGATAGTCAACTGTGTTGGTTATTTTCAAAACATTCATTCAGCTCAACAGCTGAACTATTTTTGATATATAGTCACCTAATCCAATTAACACATTTATTCATGCAGGCTTGTTGCAAGGGTTAAGCAGGGGACATGAGGAAATAGCCCTGCCTCTTTATTCCTGGCACTGTGCTTAATAAAAGCTTCCTAGATTCTTTTAAGAAACAGGTAAGTCTTGTTGCATTTGTGAGTGCAAAATCACCCTAGTATATGTTGATTTTAGAAAAGAAATGCAGTGGAGAATGACCTGGCCTCCTGTGTTACTCTGTATGTTAGGACCCATGCTTTCCCTGAGCCTGCTCAGAGTAGTCAGTGGCTTCAGGAGGGTGAAAGGAGAATGGCTTAATCCCAGGGGAAGTTTCCCAGTTAGGCAACAAGTCCACTGAGGCTGGAGGCTGAATGGGACGGCAGGAGGAGCATTCCAGACTGAGGAGAATCCAATGCAAAGACAGAGTAGGGAATCCCATGGCATCTGGAACAGGACTACCATTGTGGTGAGAGCCCAGGGTGCAGAGAGATGATGACTGTCTCAAAAGCAATTCACCAGGCCTCCAAAGGACACCACCACCTGGCCTGTAGAGCCACGGACAAGGGGTAAGAGCCCAACATTGGACATTAACTGTCCCCTTCTTCACCCTGACACATCCTCCAGCCCTACATTTCCTGCACTGCCCAAGATTCCCATCTTCTTCTGTTATTGGTTCATTCTAATAATAAAGGTTCTAGGGGGAAACTAAACACATACACACAAGTCAGAGGCTTGAGAGCAGAAAAAACCTTAGAAATGGTGTGGGTCAACAGTTGGTGTTTTAGATGAGAAGTTTTAAGTGACTTGTCCAGGTTCACAGGGCTTCTCTGTTGCTCCCATCATACCGCCCACTTGATGTTCTGAACTGTCAGAGGTTGACAATTGGCAGACAATTGGGGGAAAATACACATTATCACCAGTAGCCAGAGTACATACTCAAAAACAACTGGAATGAGTGAATAATGACAAGTGTTTTGCATGGTTCGCTTAGTAAGTACAAGAGCTCACACAAGCCATCATCACAGAAACATCTTCTAATGACATACATCACAGCTCATCTTTAGTTTGTATCCATAAGTGTAAAAAAGTTAAAAGCAAATTATTTAAACTAATTTCTCACAAAATCCCATGACCTTAAACTAAATCAAAACTTAGGAAACAACAATAAAGCTGCCAAAGCACATGTTGGCAAAATGCGACGTTACAGACCCCTGAGCCACTTGATACTCTCAGACTTCCTAGCCACACTGATCGTTAAGCAAGTGCTGCCTCTCATAGTAGCCTGAAGGATTCAACTCCAATGTTATTAGCAATGATCAAACTATTTAGAGCAAGGATCTCTGAATACAAAATTCAAAGTGTCGAAATGAACATTTAATGTGTTCTGTGCACAAAAGAACCTACAACATTGCCGAAACCGGTTTGGCTCAGTGGATAGAGCGTTGGCCTGCAGACTGAAAGGTCCCAGGTTCGATTCCGGTCAAGGGCATGTACCTGGGTTGTGGACACATCCCCAGTGGGGAGTGTGCAGGAGGCCGCTGATCGATGTTTCTCTCTCATCGATGTTTCTAACACTCTATCTCTCTCCCTTCCTCTCTGTAAAAAAATCAATAAAATATATTTTAAAAAAATAAAATATATTTTTTTAAAAAAGAACCTACAACAGTGCACTCTGTGTGTGTGTGTGTGTGAACGTGGGCGCATGCATGCTTGCACTGGGGATGCGTATTTGTGGATTGTTGGGAGTATTGGTGTAGCCACAGTAAAGTTTCCTCTAAGCTTCCATTTCTTTTGAAAATCACACTATTTTATATTTTTCCTTGCAATCCAAGATTCACAAACCATGTGGATACATCAGCAGGTGACGCACCGTGGTCCTCCAACTCTTATCAGCAGATGCACAAGGCGCAAACCCACTTCCTCTGAATTTGCACTGTGCAGATCTACTGCAGTTTGAACTCAATAAAATTAAGTCAAGTTCAAGTTCATTTCCTCAATCACACTAGCCACATTTCCAAGTGCTCAACAGACACCTGTGGCTCATGGCTACCCTACAGAACAGCACCAACCAGATAGTATTTCCATCAACACAGACTGAACAGTGATGACCCAGACCTGTGAGCAGCCCGGACCATGTTTCAGTGAGTGGTTGTGCCACTACAGAGCTGTGTCCTCCAGAAGGCATCACATAAAGACCTCTAGGTACTTCTCAGATCCTCAGTTTTATACAAATAACCACACTGAGACATTAGTCTCCATGTGTTTGTTCTTAACTCTTTGGGAGTCACAATCCCTTTAAGAAAAATGCTGAAAACAATGAGTCTTCTCAATTAAATGAGTTTTCAAAAAAAAAAGGAACATTTTCATATAGTTAGTTGTTGGGAAATATTCTAACCTTCTAAAGTCTGCTCATGAAACTGTTTAAAATTATCTGCTCAACAAAATCATTTCTATCGTGGTCATCTGAAACATAATTTCCCTGAAATAACAATTATGTCTTCACCCTGCCCTGTGGTATCTACTTGTCAGTCTTTTTTCTTTTTCTTTCTTTTTTCTTGTAATTTGAGCTCATTAATTATGGAAAGCATCACCAGTTCTCACATTATTAGCCAGAGAGATGCTGTGCATAAAAGTTATGCATAGCATACTCAGAAAACTCTCAATTCACAAAACTCTCTCCATTAAAATACCAAGGTAATTTGTTCTCCTCAAATCTTAGAGCATCCATTTACCATGTAATTGCCACTTTTATCTGGAGCTACTGAATAAGTTATAATTTATGTTTAATGAAATAATTATCTAGTGAATGGCAAATGTTGGAATGTTTATAGCCCTGTGAACCAAGTATGGTCTTCACAACTTGTGCAAAATTAAATGTAAAAATGGTACTAACTTACAATGGATGCAGGAAGGTGGCTAATGTACTAGTTTGAATAAAATAAGCTTTACCAGTGGTAGAGGTGACCAGGTGAATAATCTTAAAAAAGAAAAACACACAGAAAGTAAATCATGGATTCCAAAATTTCTTTGTAAAATGGTTTCACACACTACTTGTGAGACACAATAGTTCATCTGATAGGACTTAAGTTCTTTCTAAACTCACTTCAAAGTCTTCAGGTAAAACTACCTTTATTTTCAAATTTTTGCTCGCTTTCATAATAAAAGTTTCAAGGGAGGAAAAGTCTGAAAAGTAAGACAGAAGTCCAGTTGATTAAATGATTTATTTTTGGAACATTCTGGTTTAATGATATCAATGTCAACCTTTGCCTTGGCAATGAATCAAGATTTTATAGATAGTACTTTATGGCAGTGGAGAGAACATGGGTTTAAAAAAAGAGATGGGTATCTGACCTAAAGAGCCTAAATTTAACAGATTTAAAAAAAAAAAACAAAAACATATAAACTTTATCAGTATAACTTATAGGGAAGGTGAGAATTTTGGAAGGTGGAAAATGCAAACAGTAGGTAGATACTAAGTGTAGTTAGAAAGCATGGCAGGTGTTTTACTAGTAAATTCTTTCATTGAAGCACTTCAAAGATAGAAGCTTGAAGATAAAGAGAATTCTCAGGACACTGAATGTGACTCCATTAAAACTTAAGCTCCATGAAGACAGAAATTTTGTTTTTCACTCTTCCTTCCCCATCACCTATGCCAGTCCCTGGCACATAGTAATAGCTCAGAAAATAATTGTTGATAAAGAATGAATACCTGGCATTGAGTTAACAAACTTAAAGGGGGTGGAGGAAGCTGAGCACAACCTACTCCTGTTGTCATTAATTCCAATAAGTTTGTAAATCAGGAAAATTTTGTCTCAGGCATCAGGAGAAAGAGCAAAAGTCCAAAGAAAATAAGAATAAATCAGGTTCGAGGAAAGAAAATTTAAGTATTTAAATAAACACAAAAGAAATGAGAGCTTAATCTAAAGAGATGGCAGGAACTTCCAAAAAAAAAAAAGGACTGAAGAGACCACGAATGGTGATCAGGAACTGAGAAGGAAGTATTGACTACACACACTTATTTCACAGAAGCCAGCAAGTACAGTAAGAGGATATTTGCTCAAGACATCTCTAACTTGTCCTGCTCCCACCTGAACCACCACCTTCCAGATACAGGGTCTCCTTCCCAGGGAAGGTCAGAATATTTTCAGCTCTGAAATCTTGGAATTACACAGTCCAAATAAGTAGAAGGACCTTAGAAATCCTTCAGTCCAATACTCACTTCAGTAAATGAGGCTCAGAGAGGTTAAGAACTTACCCAAGATGCCCTGGCCGGTTTCGCTCAGTGGATAGAGCATCGGCCTGTGGACTGAAAGGTCCCAGGTTCAATTCCGGTCAAGGGCAGGTACCTTGGTGGTGGGCACATCCCCAGTAGGAGGTGTGCAGGAGGCAGCTGATCGATGTTTCTCTCTCATCAATGTTTCTAACTCTCTCTCTCTTTCTCTCTCTCTCCCTTCCTCTCTGTAAAAAATCAATTAAAAAAATAATAATAATAATAATAAAGAACTTACGCAAGATCACACAGCCGGTTATTAAGATCAGGGCTGCTCCCAAGTACTTTTCAGAGTCAAACACCTTCAATTTCCAAATTCTTCCTCCACTGAGAGCAGGGAAAACACTTCCTGGGAGCGTTGGGAGGTGGTCGAGGCTGGGCAGAGCACAATGCTTATTTGCTATCCTTTCATATTACTTTCCTCCCATGTATTCCCCACTCCACTTCTTCCTGTAACTCTCTTAAATATTTAAGAACTGTTAGCTCCCTGAAAGCGCCTTGAAGCCTCCAGAGAGAACTGATACAAACCCAAATCAATAAATTCTATCTCAAATGGGAGAATACTGTTAGAGGTACTAAGCATCACATGAAGCTTACTCATCCTAGCCAACTGCATTACAATATTTATCCACTCACAGAATTTTAAAATATTCAACACTTTCCATCAAAAATGTATGAAATGATAAAGCCAAATGATTATGCATATGTGGCTAAAATGAGCATCTGGTAGAAATTAGGACTGTGAGAATAATTTGGAGAGCCATATACCTTAACATTCCCACTTTTTTTTTCCCTCTAACCTGGCTCAAACCTACAGAGTCATCAGCTGCATTAGGTACCCAAAGCAATACTTAAAAAATAATAATAATAATAATAATAGACATTAAAATGTAATTTGTCTTTGGATTTCATAATATCAATTGTTAAAGGAATGAACTAATTGCAAAATAGATGAATTTGGCAAAATTCTGTGACCATTAGTACATGGTAAATTAAATTATCTTTTCTAAGAAAATCTGTATATAAAAACAGTACTAAAACTTTCAAAAATTACTTTACCTTTCATAACCTACTGACTTCTTAATAATATTTTTCGCTACTGAAAATCAACTGCTTTCCTAATTGAGTCTTTAGCTGGAGTGGTTTGTTTTTATTGTTGAGTGTGCAAGTACAACATGTGTATATTTTAAAATTTTGGTTTAAAGGGAGAAATTAGATATAGTATTTCCAGAATGTATAAAAAGACCAGGGTCTTAAAATATTTAAAGTATTCAAAATCTTAAAAATATAAAAATATCAATATAATTCTTCTGTTTAATGACAGTTTATATCCAAGCCTATGTTATTTTCCAACTTTCTGTACTTGGGAGGTAACTAAAAGTCCAGAAGGAAATTAGAGACCTCTGATTAATCAAGAAACAGTCCACAAATTGTAGGTACATTATTTATAAAAGCCCTTTAGGTCTTCTCTTAGAAACCACTTGTTTTTTTTATACTTACTTCTTCTATCAATACTGGTTATATAGGATACAAATCCAAACATAACTAAGTAAAAGTGAACAACTTCTAATTTAAAAATAATCTAAGCTATAAAGTCCAAATTAATATATTCCATCTGAAATGGACAGAACATATAATTCACAGCATAAAGAGCTGAGCAAGTGAAGAAAAAATTATTTAGAAAATAAAGGCCTATTGGTAGGATAGCTCTGCAGTCTATGGACATTCAGTGCTGAGGTCAGAGCCCGTCAACCGTCTATACCTGAGATGGAATCCTTACAAAGAGGTGCTCAGAGGTAAAGCTCGGGAAGATCAAAGCAATTGGGATGTCTTGGAGAGCAGTGCCACTGAATTGTGGGTGTTGAGGAGTGAATAGGCAGTGAAAGAAGTAGGTGATAGCATGAGGTCAAGGAGAGCTTTATTTAGGATGGAGAAAACTTGAGCATGTTTTCAAAATGAGGAGAAAGAGCCAGGAGAAAGACAGAAACTGGAAGTAAGAGCAATGGGGAACAATTGTGTGGGCAGAGCAGGGAGGGATAGCATGAAAAGCACAAAGAAACAGATCAGCCTTGGAAGACCACCTCTATCTCTGGGAAGCCTTTTTCAAATCCCCATCTGACTTTATTCCTCCCAACTTGGTGGTTCTGCAAGGGAGTCATTTAGAAGGGTGCTACTCAAAGGCGGTCCTCGGACCAGAGGGATCAGATTCACCTGGGGGCTTGGTTGCTGCTATCTGGTTCTACCAGGTCTACTGCATCAGAGGATCACAGGTGATGCCTACTGAAGTTTGGTTTAAAGCATTAAACTATAAACATGAGCATTGAAAATAGATATATCTAGGTTCAAATCCAGCTCTACCCTGACACCATGGCATGAGCCCTTGGGAAAGTGTCTCTAAACCTGAGTTTTGTCCTCTGTAGATTGGAAATAATGATTGTAATATTTCTCAGGTGCCATTGTAAAAAATTAAATAAGATAATGTAGGTAGAGAGCTTGGCATTGAGCTTGGAATACAGTAATAATAGCTGGCATGTTATTATTGTTCATCACTTCCAGCCTACTTGTATAATAGCTTTGTCATGTTTATGTCTGAACCCATGCTGGGAAAGGGGTTCACCAAGGAGAGGGAACACACTTCAGTTGTGTTCATCTTAAGGCATCCAACCTGGAGATGTGCACACAGGTGTGCAATAATGAAGCACTTAACCTGTTGAAATGAATCCAGTACTGTGACCTGAGTAAATCGATTATCCCAAAGCAAATATTAAAGCTCTTTCTTTGACTGTACTGACATAAAAGCCCATTAGAAATAGGTTAAGAACTTGTTTGGGATTAAAGGCTCAACTTTCAGAAGAGAATAATAAAGTTATGAGGCGAAGTATATTCCTCTTCCAAAACCTCCCAAAACAGGAGTACCATAAGAAAGTGAGACAGAGCTCTCTTTGAACAGACATAAAGGTGGTAGGCTTCCCTTCTGAGGTCAGCAGGGCAAACCACTCTGAGATGTTTTACGTAAAGGATAAAGTATAATGCTTGGGAAAGGTACATAAATGAAATCACACCACTAAATCAGTGGTCGGCAAACTGCGGCTCGCGAGCCACATGCGGCTCTTTGGCCCCTTGAGTGTGGCTCTTCCACAAAATACCACATGTAGGTGCACACATACAGTGCGATTGAAACTTCGTGGCCCATGCACAGAAGTTGGTTTTCGGAAAGGAGATAGACGAAACAAGTATACAAGACGAGTGTGGATGGGAGAGTTGGAAGGAGTCGACCTCAGCGAATGTACCTCAATCAGATTGAGGACGTTTTTAGCAAAGGCCAGCTTAGGAGTACCCTAATTAAGTTAATAACAATGTACCTACCTGTATAGTTTAAGTTTAAAAAATTTGGCTCTCAAAAGAAATTTCAATCATTGTACTGTTGATATTTGGCTCTGTTGACTAATGAGTTTGCTGACCACTGCACTAGATGAATTCCTTCATTTTAGGCAAAACTCCAATAATGAAGTGGCTGATTTCATCGAATGTACCTTCATTTCCTGTGTTGGCAAAAGCACACATACATAAACCCTATCTGGCTTGTAACAGTAAGACAAATGTTTCTCTTTGCATTATTAGTTATGGGGGAAAACACAGCTTATAACACAGAACACCCACTTCTATAGTGAATAATATATAACACTGGTAAAAGCATTTCATAGAGTACAGTTAAATTTGATATGAAGAATTCACAAATCCTTCCAATGCAACTCGGTTCAATCAACTTACATTTGTGGGACACCCGCTGGGCAGCAGGCACTGGGCTAGGTCTTGGGGTGGCAAGAAGACTGGAGCCCAGAGGCAGAAGGTCAGAGGAAGCTTCTGAGAAGATTTCATCTGCTACGACCTCCCTGACAGGCAAAGGAAGGCAGAACACTTCAGGGAGGGGTGCCAGCAAAAACAGTGGCATCAAAGACTGAAAGAGGCTCAGGAGTTGAGCTTTAGCCTTTAATCAGTGAGAAACCACAAGGCTTGTAATAGTAAGACAACATGCAGAGCAACACGCTCAGATCTTTGTGTAGGAGGGTCATTCTGAGGATGGACTGGGCAGCAGAGAACCTGGGAGCAAAAAGACCACTTAAGAGCAATGCAATCAGGGGTAGGAGACAAGGAGGCTCAGGAGGAGGTGATAGGCAGTGGCATGATTTCAAACTTAGTGGCCTTGGTGACTAATGGGAGAGGAGTCAAGGTGACAGCATGACTTCTGCATCAGTTACAAACAGGAGCACATAGGTGAGACAGGGCTCTCTTTGGGAACTGTGGGAAATTCCAGATGGGGGAATTCTCCTGGTCACATGGAGATCCCTGAGATGTGTGCGTTATTATACAATCGCAGTGAGTGTCCAGAAAGCAGAGTGAGGAGACACTTTCTTTGCATCACAATAATAAAAGGAGGTCCCTGGTGGCTCATCCCCACAGCTCTCTGTGAGCCGATGAACCAGTGAACTTGTGCTGCCTTTTCTTTGGACATAATCCCTCAATTGTAGACTTTTTAATAACCCCAGGTATTGCCAAAGAAGTTCATTCTGAATGAAATTCAAAATCTTCCAGAAATGGTGTGTCTCAAAGATCTGGTTTGTTGAATGAAGTAATGTAAAGAGGGTGCTTTAACCGAATTTCCTTTGAAAGTTATGCTCCCAGTTTCCTGAGGATTCTCTCTGCCTATCTGCGTCACCTCTCTTCTTCAGAGGAGTGACAAGGATGATCCACTCCTGGCAGGACACCCAACTGCTTGGCTCCTCAAGAGTTCTCCTGGTTTGGTGAGAAGAGGCAGCTGAAATAATCCCAGCCCACTGCTGCTTCTGCTGTCCTGGGGACCAGAGGGTCCTACCAGCATTTGGGCCAGGGCAATGCTTTGTCTTATGTGACTGCCCCACATTACAGGGTATTTACAATTCTTAACCACATTCCCTGTTCATTGTTGTGAAAACCAGAAACACCCTAAGCATTTCCAAATGCGTGTCAAAGTTGTAGTACTACCTTTGGTTAAGAAACACAGCAGTATTAACCTATGAAGCTAATTTCTATAAATATTCTGTTTTTCTACCTTATAAAAATAATTAGTGCTCCTACTGATCCATCTGATTTGGTATAAAGAAACAATCTTTTCTTTTCTTTCTTTTTTACAATCTTTTCTTTTAAAGGAGAAATATGTAAAATAACTCTCCGATAGCTCATTGCTATTTTTTAGCAGAAGCAAATCACCAAGCTAAATTACAAACAGACCACAGGCATCTTTAGGGCTTAAAAAGTCTGATACAGCATTTTTTCTTGGATAATTCAGAAATATAGTTCAAAATCTAGAAACTAACACATTTTTTAAAATAAATTCTGGAACATCAGAGGTTCCATAAATCAAACTCAAAGAATCAGAGTACCAAGATAAAGAATTCTCAAAACAAAGATCACACAAAAGGCTCACTGGTTATTTATATTTCCAGATGTATTAATAATAGGAACAAAATAGAACCTGCCTGTCTGACATCCATCCCCATTCTTGAGATATTATCATTGAAATACTTTGTATTGTAAATACACTTTTTATTCCAAGGCTTCAAGTGCTAATATTTAGAGAGAATGTAGTTGCTAAATTATATATATATATATATCATATTATATTATTAATATATATCATATTGTTAGTATGAACCTATCAGTACTATAAATAAGTTCTCTTTTTTTAAGAAAAAAAATCCACTCATTCCGCAACAAAAAGACATGCCCTATGGTACCTATAGGAGTAATTTCCTGAGCTAGCACACCCTGGCAGAACATGCCAGTGCCCAAAGTCAACACAGCCTCGGGAGTACGCTCAGACAGACAGCATGGAGAAACCCTTGCATTTAGATTTATAGGAAGATTTTTCACTTACTTCAAATTTCTGTATAATCCTTGTTCCTCTATGTTAAAGGGGGACGGGAGAATCACAGTGTACTTCCTTATTTTTCTAATTAAAAAATAAACAAAACAAAGCACAGTATATCCACGAATTGGCTGGGGTGTCCTCAGTATTTTCTTTGGGTCTCCTCCTTTCAATGAACACTACTTTCAAATTCTAAACAAAAAGTAAAATATCCAAAGTTAGGCCAAGAAAGACTGTAAAAAAAATCAAATATCACAACACAAACCAGGCAAGTGCATCTATTTGAAGTGATGATTCAGAACAGGATAAATTTAGAACAGTGCTCTCCACAAGGCATTTGGGTGCCAACTGCAGTACACAGGTGAAGGCTACATCCCAAAAGTTTCTCTGAAAAAAGATTGCCAAAATATGATTAAAAAGAATCTTCTTTTTGAAGTTGTCAGTCCCCCGGTGTCCTTGACACTCAACTTCCCCAATCTGGCTTTGGCGTGGCCATCCATTACTGGGTAAATCCACGTGAAACCTGAGGACACTCAGCCTGGGAGGACACAGTCAGAAGCAGTGGGCAACTCGCAGGGGACCGGCCTTTTATGGTCTGAACTGGAGAGCCTTGATTCCAGCTAATCTACCAAAATAGCTCTTGGAACTCAGAGAAGCCCATCAGCTGTTGCAACAGGCCTGGCCAGCAGCTACCTCAAATGCAATGAATTCGTTCACATTGTCTTTCAGCTTTTTATATAGAGAAATAAAAAAATGCAACACCAGTCTACTGAACAGGCTAACAGCAGTACAGAATGGAGAGGGTACACATTTGTCTAACTCTAGTTTCTGAGTTAAAAAACAACAACACATAATCATTGATAAAGCTCAGCAGCCAACCATTCAAAAATAAATATGTATGCACATGAAACAACATGCTAGAATGGCACAGGTCTATTTACAAGTTTAGAACTGTGTAGACATCTGTGGATTTCTTCCTACTTCCAATAATTGTAGAAGATGAGTCATCAGAAGAAGGAATTGTGCTAGAAATACTTTCTCTAAAACAATACAAATATTTTGTCTTAAAACCAAAGACAATGCCCTGAACTGGTAAGATCTATCCTCAGATGGATCTCAGGTCACTCACCTAAAAAACCAAAGGAACCTTAACTAATTAACCTTAACTAAAAACAAACAAAAATCCAAAACTAAACAACAAACAAACAAAACTTATCAAGCACAACCATTTCTTAAAAAGCTATTTGCATTTTTAGATATTAAAACTAAATTACAACCCTGCTTATAAAAATACTTACAATGGTAGGTGTCCTTATTGTTAGAAAGAATGAAAGACAGTCTCAATTGTTCATCCTAACTTCATAATCACAAAGCCAGAGCTCCTGGGCTATAGCAAAAGCTGTGCTTCATGCCATCAGGCCTGGGTCCTATGCCTCTGGGTGTCCCTTCTCAGACCACCAGCTGCATCAGTCACCAGAGGCCTCCCAAAGAGGGATCTGAATTCCTGTTATTAATTAACCCTGCAGGACAATGCCTTCCCCTAAGCAGACAGTTCTTGAGCCAGGTGAAAAGATGGCAGAAACCCTGGACAGTTGAATAATTAAACACCAGCTTCCTGACTATTTTGTGCAAGGATTAAAAACAATTTGTCCAAGCCAAATTTTTTAACTCATTTCAAGATGACAATTAAAATTTCACAAGATGACTTCTGCTTCCTAATCTCAGTCCTGGCCCTCATCTTATGTTCCCTTTGATCAATTTTGCCTTTCATCAATTTTTAATTTTATTTGGTCTTGCTTGATATATTTATATAAGATGATTTAAACTCCCCCTAGAACAAATCAGAATAAAAATATATCTAAACTTATGTAAACATGTTGCCCATTGGGTTTTTAAGAAAAGATAGGAGAAAATGAATCACTATTACTGTAACAATGCAGTTATTTTCTTTAAAAAGATTCAATCATATAAAGTAAACATCTAACTTTTGGATGCCTCTTAAGTTGTGGCTCACTGCTCCCTAGAGCAACCAAACTGATCTAAATTAATGCATTAGAGTCTAAAAGAATAATTCTTCTCAGATGCTTGTTTTGTCTTTGTCCAAACCCAGTTAATTCTACCTGTGCAATCTGTTTAAATACTTCCTTCAAATTTCTCTGCTATTTGCCAAACTCAGGAAACTTTTGTCACACACACTTCTTTCCAAATACTGACAATAATCAGACCTGATATGCATGAGGGTAGATTTCATGATATGCCCATAAAGAAAATAAAAAATCATATATTATGAATTAAAATTAAAATGAGAACTAGATTTATACTAAACTTAGACATTTTCAAGATATTTGATAAGTAACTATTTCTCATTTGCTATTATTCAATACTAGAGGCCAGGTGCACGAAATTCATGCATGGGAGTGGGAGGTTTCCTCAGCCCGGACTGCACCCTCTTGCAAAACAGCAGTTGGACATCCCTCTCACAATCCGGGACCACTGGCTCCTAATGGCTGGCCTGCTTACCTGCCTGATCACCCCTAACCCCTCTGCCTGCCTGCCTGATCACCCCTAACCCCTTGCCTGCCTGCCTGATCGCCTCTAACCACTCTGCCTGCCTACCTGAGTGCCCCTAACTACTCACCTGCCTGATCAACCCTAACCACTCACCTGCCTGCCTGATTGCCCCTAGCCACACTGCCTGCCTCCCTGAGCTCCCCTAACTGCTCGCCTGCCTGCCTGATTACCCCTAACCACTCTGCTTCCTGATCGCCCCTAACTGCTCACCTGCCTGCCTGATCGCCCGTAACCACTCTGCATGCCTGCTCAATTGCCCCTAACTGCTTGCCTGCCTGCCTGATCACACCTAACCGGCCTCTGCAGTCTAATTAGCATATAATGCTTTTATTATTATAGATTAGTATTGTAACAATATGGTAATCTACTATTTCTTTCTACTAACTGATCATTATATCAGCTTTATTATGAGTTTTA